TTTGGTATTTTTTCAATTAAAAATTAATTTTAATATAAATTTAAAAATCAAAAAATCAAATTAATATTTTAATTAAATTGTAAAAAAACTATATTTTAGTCATTTTCCAGTTTGGATTACTGGCTTTGGCTGTGTGGCATTGGGACCACGGTTGTTCTGGGAAACAATAGCGACGGTTGATTCTCATAGCCAAGTAGTATATATAGACCGCCGAAAAAAGGGAGCATCGAATGGCGACAAACGGTCATCTTTTGGGGTAGCCATGTCTCTCGCCAAAGGCATATTTAGAGGACTGCGCCCCGACAACCGTGTCACACTTCCTGGGGCCAGGGAGATGCCACTGTTCTCTACTGCCTTCTTAATTAGTTCTGATATTTGCTGTTTCATATTAATTTTATAAAAATTTATGAAAAATTTTCAGTTTAAAATTATTTGGTAGCATATAGAAGATTTTTATCCAAAGAGTAAGGAAAACAAATTTCATATAAAGGGAAGTATATACGGTGCATTTTTAGCTATCACTTATTATTTTTGGAAGATATAGTTAAAGACTTGCATTGGTGTAAGTTTAAGAATTTTTTATATCAATTTTTAGCTATAATTTTTAAATTTTTAAAGATTATTTTAAAAATTTAAGTGTTGAATTAATTATTATAATTTTAAAATAAATAATTAAAAATCAATATTCTAACACTTCTACTAGTGTAAATCGATCTTTAACATATTTAAAATTGTTTTTCTTTGCTACGTCTTTTTGGTACCGCCGTATGAACTTTGTAGGATTCTGGAGACGCCAAAATATTGAGATTCCCATGGCCTTTTGTGACTTGACATATTAGATATATATTTATTTTCTGTCAAAGGTTAAAACTTCATTCCCAATTTAACTTTATATATTCTTCATTTTGTCTCAATTTGTATTTACCACAATCTCGCCCGAAAAAGGTATTAAACAAATTGTCTCAATTTGGCTCGACTTCCTTTTATTATTACGCACACTAATCAAAATCAACCAAGTAATTTTTTTTAATATTAATCTCTCGATATTCAGTAATCACATTAAATTTTGATTAATTTAGAATTGAGTTGTGTTGCACCTCATTAATTCTCCTAATACTTGTTTCTCTATTCATAAAACTCAAATTTAAAATATCATTTAAGGAAAACTAAACTCTTTTCACTGGACTCGACAAATCATTAGTCAACAAAGTAATTTTTATATCCAAATAAAAGCATTTTTAAAAAGAAAATTTTTAAATGCCTATACTCATATATGATACCAAACTCCACCAAATATGTAATCACTTAGATCACACCTCTTGACATCAACAAACAGAATTACATATTTTAAAATCCTAAAAACTAATGTACCAAAAAACTTATTTATGGGCTATATAATTTAAAGTATTTAAGATATTTAATTAAAGTTAGCAACTAATGGTTTTTTTTTTTTATCCTGGTTGCACAATAAGATACAATCATCTTTCATCCCTTATTTTACTTCACCCACATATTATGCGATTCAAAATTAGAATCTCTTATTTTCAGTGAAATGAGATAACTATTAAACTATTTAATTAAGTCGTTGGCAACTAATGGTTAGTTTTAAATACTAAAACAACCCCTAATTATCTACAAAAAGGAAACAATTAAACAACAAGAATCTAAATGAAAATGTAATTAAAAATTGAGGACTTCAGGTATGATTTACCTTGATAAATTCAACACACAACGTATAAAACACGTGGATCACTGTCAGTTTTTGACTTTAATCCTGGGTGGAGGAGTGTTCTATAAGATTCTTCGTCCCATTTAATATTTCATTAATTATTTTCCAAATTTTTAAAATTTTTCTTCCTCGTCATATTCTTTTTCTCACCTAACTGACCTCACCGTCTTCCAAACCAAAGTAATATCAGGTAGTCCTGTGACCACCTCTGTAAACCTGAACCCTACCCCTCCGCTAATAAAATTAAAGTACGTTTTGACTTTTGACCAAATGCCACTCAATAAATGGTAAAGATCGTTTAGTAAAGACTCTCTTATAGTTGGTTAAAAACTTGAATACACATCTTCAAGATTTAAAATTTACCTTTTAAAAATTTATAGTTTAGATATATCTCTCTTTAAATAGTAAATTACAAAATTACAAAATTTAACTTTTAAACTACAAATTTTTTTAAACAACACAATTTTAAAGAGAGAAAAATATCATTTACAAAATTTAAAGATACAATTGATGAGATAAACGATTTAAATAGTTAATTAGTTTTTTTATTAAAAATAATATATTTTAAATTTAAATCGCATAATATGTGAGTGAGGTAAAATAAAAAATAAAATATAATTAATTCTTATTATGCAACAAAAAAAAAAATACAATTGATGAGAAGTGAACTCAACTTAACCAAAGTTCTCAGCCACTATCCGGGCGTGGGATCATATTATATATATATATATAGTTAATCCTAGGAAGTGGGTGAGACCACGCAGTTAACGTACTCCCTATACCACCTACACTTTTCTCTTGTCAAGAAAAACATGTGACTTCAATAATTCGTTAGAGAATGCCACGTGTTAAAAAGTTAGTAATGTTTTGTAATACGACACGCATCCCGGTGTCTTAAGGTGACGGTTTTAAGCCACGTGGAAGATAAAAAAGGCGAAAAAATAAGTGTTTTTAACTGTTCCTGTGTGGGTGGATCTACTGTTGGAGACGAAGATTTCGCCGACGCGGTCTGCCAGCTGTATTGGCCATAGATTTCGTGATTGTA